GAAAAAGAAAGCTGCTGCCACCGAGTTTGTTTGTTGCATTTGGGTTTGGTTGAGTCTACTGATAGACCATTAAGTAATCAGTCTTCTAACAGTTGTTTAAACAGCATAAAGAGGACAGATTATGAAATCTCCTCATTTAGACAAACTGAAAAACTCAAGTAGTCTTTTCAGGAATGACAATGCTGGCTAGAGTGTCGTGTTCTTTCTGACAATATATGATTATTTTCTTGGTGTGTTGTTAACATGTTTGCAATCTAGATGGGCACGGCAGTCACTCTTGAGCAACTATATTTATGAGGAAATTCGAGATGTTCTACTGACCAAAACCAAGTCAACAGTTGACAGTTTGCCCACTTTCTTGGTAGCTTGCTCTCTACTGCTTAGGGCCCTTTTGTCTTTGCTTATCTGGAGACACCAACTCAAGAGGCATATATGCACAGCCTGTGCTTTTGGTGGGCTTCAGGTCTTTACTAGGTGTTCCTTGGAGATAAAAAAGTGCATCCAGTATCTGACTCTGAGTTGTTTCCTCTTGATTTGGAAATAAATCAGGAGAAATAGCCAGGGGTCCTCTTCCAATAGGTCCCAAAGAATTACATAAGTATAAGAACAGTTGTCTTTTCCTTGTTTTCGTATCATTACCAAGAAGGATGTGAGATCATGCCATCGATTTGTAAGGCAGGGTATCAGTTTGCTTTCTAACTGCCAATACTGAAAGCCTAATCAGAAACAGCTTAAACCAGGGTTTACCCAAACTTCAATGTGGCTGGGCACCTTGGGCTCTTGAGAAAATGGAGGTTCTGATTCCAATGATCTAGGGCAAGCTGTGATCTTGATTCTCTAATGAGCTCCCAGGTATGCAGATGACACAGGGAATCACTTTGCACCTTGAGTGGCCGAGGCTTAACCATAAGATTATTAATTGCCTCATGGAACAAGTCCAAAGGCAGAAAGCTCTCTAAGAAGCTCACCCAGAAGTTTCATGAGATCATCACAAATTGACTGTTTTCCAACTCTTCCATCCTGAGTTTGTTGGTATTGGTCTGTGTGCTTGTTTCCCTCATGGTTACAAAATGCATGTAGCAGATGCTACAATTGCTTCTTCAACCAGCTAGAGACAGAAATGGAAAGGTCAGTTTTCCCTTCTGTCTCTCTCTCTCTTTCTCTGGGTAAAGAGAGTACTTTCACAGATCTTCCCTTATGTCCTATTTGCCAGAATTAGGTGTTGTTAAATTCTTTCCCAAACCAATGACCAGGAAGAAGCATTGTTCTGATTGTCTTCTCCTATTCAGGATTCATCCTGTGGGGCTGAAGGGGGTATCCTGCACTTCTTTGAAACACACAGCCATCTGAAACCTAAGCAAACACCAGGGTACTGTTTGTTAGGGAGAAAGGGGATGACGGGGCTCTTGGGCAAGCAGCCCAGTGTCTATCATAGGCACTGTCCAGAGATAGACTTCAAATTTACATGGGCAGTGAAAGAATCAAATTACCTCACAATGTCACTGTGATGAAAAATTCTGTTTAACCTTGTGTTTAATCTTCAGCCAATGAGTAACACAATCTAAACAACATTCACTGCTATGGTGAGGGCCAATTCTAGTGAAACCAGTGAAGTAAATTATTTGTTCTTAGTGTGCTTGTCCATTTGATAGCCTCATATTAAACCATTTTCCAAATCCAGAAATCCATTACATACACATAGCCTCTCCTATTTACCCAGGGACTTTGTTTCAACTGTATGTACTTCTCCAGGCTGACATTAGTACTCTAGATAGTGGAACAGAGAATAGTTTATCCTTAGGGCATTAATTACTGCTAACATGGCAATGGCTTCCAATGGATCCATTTTGTTCCTCTCCAAAACAATACCCCCATTTGCATAAAAGCCTTTACCATATAATCTAGTCTTGAGGGCTGGCCTGGTTCCTGAGGGAGAATAGCCTAGTCGACCTGCAGATATATTAGTTACCTTAATATTTCAAAAGGAAGGTACAAAATACAAAGATTATTTCCTCTAAGTCCCATCATCTTGATTTTTCTTTGGGGGTGGGTTAAGCCAGGGTTTCTCTGTATAACAACATCTCTGACTATACTGGAACTTGCTTGTGAGCAAACTGGCTTCAAACTCTCAGAGATCCACCTGCCTCTGCCTCCCAAGTGCTGGGATTAAACACTTGCGTCACCATGCATGGCCCATCATCTTGTTTAAAAAAAAAAAACAAAAACAAATGAGAAGACGACTTCCAAGTAGCTAGTGAAAGATTGTAATGTGAGAGGAAAGGTAAAACTATATAGTGTATGCATTATCTCTGTACAGAGTGTCTCCAGCAGGTTTCCTCCATCTTGACACTGAAGCTTTACTGTTTTCATCTGTGTAGGTGCCTATTTGCAAATGTATCAAATTCTTGTTGTATGACCAAAATACATCATAGTTTGAAATACTCCCCAAACCCTGCTGCTAAGTAAAAAGTCATTAAATGGGAACTTTCCCTTGATTTCATTGGAAAGAATCATGATATAATATTGATAATACTATTCCTGATCCTGAAACATTTTTTGCAGAAAGAGATATAAGCATCTTCACTATCTTAATTAAACAGTTTAGATTCTATGATATGAGGATGGTCCACTGAAGTCCACTAAAGAAAAGGTGAAGAGTTGGTGGTAGTGGGGATGCATATGAGAGAGTCAGTCTTTGGAATACGTGGAGAGTCATGAGAAGTTTTCAGGTAGAGTGTCAGTATCAGAATCAGATATACATAGTGATCATTCTCATTTGCTGAAGACACGGACACTATAAGGCCCTTTTCATGTTAGTTACTTTGGCATAATATCACAGTAGTCTCTCTGGTCTAGAAAAAAAGGCCAAATAGACGATTCTATTTCTCCTTGTAGGTCAGTCACTGTGGTCCAAAACTGGGATGATTTTTCTCAGCTCATGGTTCAGGTTTCTCATGCTTCACAATAATTTCTTGGGATATGATAAAATTGCCTGGAATAAACAGCCAAGAAACTACCTGTTCCAGATGTGGTATAGTAGGGTGATCTCTCTTTTTTCTTCCAGCATCCAACTGGCTTGCTGTATATGGTATATGTAATATGGTAATATTGACTTGCTAGGCTGTCTCTCTGCCTGAATTCTTTCAGAAACTTCCTCCTTTGTGTGCTTTTGGATGCTCCATTATTCCTGGTGTGCATCTTACCTCAAAAGTTCTCACCATATACCTCTCCAAAAGCTTTTGCTGCTTCGAGGTTACATATCTGGCAACTAAGAGCAAGTGCTCTGGAGCCAGAGTTACCATCTTCAGGATCTTGAAAAATGGTGTAACCTTTCTGTGCTTGAGTTTTTTCATCTATAACACTGGGATGATAAATATAGCCCTACTGTATACAGACAATAAATGGGCTGAGAAAGAAATCAGAGAAACATCACCCTTTACAATAGCCACAAACAACATAAAACATTGGGGTAACACTAACCAAACGAGTGAAAGACCTGTATAGCAAGAACTTTGTGTCTTTAAATCAAGAGGAAAGAAGACACCAGAAAATGGAAAGATCACCCATGCTCTTGGATAGGTACGATCAACATAGTAAAAAAATGGCAATCTTGCCTAAAGAAATCTACAGATTCAATGCAATCCCCATCAAAATCCCAGCACATTCTTCACAGACCTTGAAAGAACAATACTCAACATTATATGGAGAAGCAAAAGACCCAGATAGCCAAAACTACCCTGTACAATAAAGGAACTTCCGGAGGCATCACCATCCCTGACTTCAAGCTCTACTATAGAGCTATAGTCCTGAATACAGCTTGTTATCAGCACAAAAATAGACAGTGGACCAATGGAATCGAATCAAAGACCCTGATATTAACCCACATACCCACAAACACCTGATTTTTGACAAAGAAGCTAAAGTTATACAATGGAATAAAAAAAAGCATCTTTAACAAATGGTGGTGTCATAACTGGATGCTGGCATGTAGAAGACTACAGATAGATCCATGTCTATCGCCATGCACAAAACTTAAATTCAAATGGATCAAAGACCTCAACATAAATCCAGCCACACTGAACCTATTAGAAGAGAAAGTAGCAAATACCCTTTAACAAATTGGTACAGGAGACCACTTCCTGAACATAATACCAGTAGCACAGACACTGAGATGGACAATTAATAAATGGGACCTCCTGAAACTGAGAAGCTTCTGTAAGACAAAGGACACAGTCAACAAGACAAAACGGCAGCCCACAGAATGGGAAAATATATTCACCAACCCCGCATCCGACAGAGGGCTGATCTCCAAAATTTACAAAGAACTCAAGAAGCTAGTTTCCACAACACCAAACAATCCAATTAAAAAGTAGGTTACAGAACTGCAGAATAATTTTATGTGATTTAACAAATCATATAACCACAGAGCCTGGAACACTATAAGCATCCAATATATGTATGCTATTTCAGCCTTATTTTCCCCATTAACTATCTTCTGCTCACCTTGCTGTAGAATTGTCTTCCCATAGTTTTTTTTTTTTCTTTTTGGTTTTTAGAGACAGGGTGTTTCTCTGTGGCTTTGGAGGCTGTCCTGGAACTAGCTCTTGTAGACCAGGCTGGTCTCGAACTCACAGAGATCCTCCTGCCTCTGCCTCTGCCTCCTGAGTGCTGGGATTAAAGGCGTGCACCACCAACGCTCGGCTGTCTTCCCATAGTTTCTTAATAACGTCTACTGGCTTTCCTTTCCCTGCTGCGTCGGCAGCCATGAGTATGCTCAGGCTACAGAAGAGGCATGCCTCTAGCGTCCTCCGTTGTGGTAAAAAGGTGTGGTTGGACCCCAATAAGACCAAAGAAATAGCCAATGCCAACTCCCGTCAGCAGATAAGGAAGCTGATCAAAGATGGGCTGATTATCCAGAAGCCCGTGACTGTTCATTCTCGGCCGATGCCGGAAAAACACTTTGGCTCGAAGGAAGGGCATAGGGAAGCGGAAGGGTACCGCCAATGCGAGAATGCCTGAGAAGGTGACCTGGATTCGAAGAATGTGGATCCTGCGTCGACTTCTCAGGAGATACTGGGAATCCAAGAAGACTGACCGCCAAATGCACCACAGCTTGTACTTGAAGGTCAAAGGGAATGTCTTCAAAAATAAGCGGATTCTCATGGAGCACATCCATAAGCTGAAGGCAGACAAGGCCTGCAAGAAGCTCCTGGCTGACCAGGCTGAGGCTCGCAGGTCTAAGACCAAGGAAGCACGAAAGTGCCGTGAGGAGCGCCTCCGGGCCAAGAAAGAGGAGATCATCAAGACTCTGTCCAAGGAGGAAGAGACCAAGAAATAAAGCTTCCCTCATGTCTGTACATAGTGGGCTGCCTGTGGCCTCAGGTGATCAGTCATTAAAATAAAACAAGCCTTTGTCTGTTAAAAAAAAAATAACGTCTACTGGGCTGGTGATATGGCTTAGCAGGTAAAGGCACTCATCATGTAAGCCTAGTACTCTGAGTTGATACTCAGATCCAATGCAAAGATGGAGGGAGAGATCTGACTCCACAAAGTTGTTCTCTGGCACCCCCTTGCACACTATGACATGGGTGTGGCCAAGTATGCATGCACACACACACATATATAC